GAAGGGGCCATCCCCAAACTCTTCCCACAAAGTTGGGAGCATGAAATTGTACAAAATGTCTTGCTATGCTGGCACCTTAAGAGTTCCTTTCACTGAGATGAAGGGGCCAAGCTCAACACCTGAAAGAACAACCCCACACCATAATCCCCCTCCACCAATCTTTACACTTGGCACAAGTACCACTCTCCTGGCAACTGCCAAACCCAGACACATCCACCGGATTGCCAGACCGAAGCGCGGTTGGTCACTCCAGAGAACACATCTGTACTGCTCTAGAGTCCAGTGGCGGTGTGCTTTACACCAGTCATTATCCAATGCTATGCATTGCACTTGGTGATGTAAGGGGTGGATGCAGCTGCTCAGCCGTGGAAACCCATTCAATGAAGCTCTCTACGCACAGCTGTGCTAATCTGAAGGCCACACAAAGTTTGGAGGTCTTTAGCTGTTGACTCTGCAGACAGTTGGCAACTTCTGTGCACTGTACACCTCAGCATGCGCTGACCCTGCTCTGTCATTTGACATGGCCTACCACTTCATGGCTGAATTGCTGCTTTTCCCAGTTGCTTCCACTTTGTTATAATATCACTAACAGTTGACTGTGGAATATTTAGTAGCAAAGAAATTTCACGGATGGACTTATTGCACAGGTGGGAACCTATCACAGTACCACACTTGAATTCACTGAGCTCCTGAGGGCGATCCATTCTTTCACAAATGTTTGTAGAAGCAGTCTGCATGTCTAGATGCTTGATTTCTTACACCTGTGGCCATGGAGGTGATTGGAACACCTAAATCCAATGATTTTGAGGGGTGTCCCTGTACTTTTGGCAATATAGTGTATACTAAATTCAGATACTCAGTGGTAGAGGAAAGCAGCTGCATATTATACACCGTTAGTTGTGTTAATGTTGTAAATGTGGAGGTTTGCAGGAGAACCTGTATTCATCTACATGGTGAACACAGATTTCCTGAGTACACACAACATGATGACATATTATCAGTGGGCACAGGACTGCTGCTGTGTACAGCTCTGTGCCTGTTACTTTTTCCAAAAACTTCAGCTAAAAAAAAAAAGTTTTTTCTGACCATTGCTAACTGTTATCAAACACGGTCCTCAAGCTTTGAGTTTGGTGTCCAGGGATGTGATGCCTAAAGTACACCATAAACCTCTAAGTGCGGTTTGACCTTTTTTTTTTTTTTTTTTTAGGATTTTCGAATTGTTCAAGACTGTTAAAACATATTAATTTATATTCATAATTTAAGTCATTTAAATTTCATATAATCTTTACCTTTTCCAAAACTAACTCACATCTGTAAACTACTTTTTGCTAAACTGGCCATGAAATTGACACGATCCTAACCTGCTCAGGATCATCTAGATTGATTAATAGAAAGTGAGCTTCAGGATAGCCAAGCCTCTAAGAATGGTAAATGCCAGTTAGTTATTGAACCATTCGTACGGAGTCCTGTGAACTTCCTGATTTTAATGTGTGGTGCCTGGTTGTGTATGGGAATTTGGACAAGGAGGAGATTAGGGATGCTGTGTCCCTAAATTCTGCATACAAGACTGAGAGGAGACATCACTATGTAGGACATCCATAAAGCTCTCCGATAAAAGCGAACATTATATAGGCTGTGTTTTACAGCCTACTACAACAATAAAGTGAACATAAACTCAACAATAAAAAAAAAGCCTCAAAGTGGATACACAGATGATCCTAAAAGCAGTTAGGTGTCAGAATAATTTTAAGGACATCTTTTGTTTTAATTATAAATCTTTACAATATCGCCTAATTAGCATTAAAGTGAATCTTTATCCAGGGCATTAAATTATTTACATATTCTTAACAAATAGTAAATGAGCTTTAAAGCAAGCCTTTAACTGACATCTGCAGGCAATGTGGATCAATTCATCCCCAAAGTTCACTGCCGAAGCACTAAAGTCCTCTTTCAGCAGCTCAGCTCCCCTGTGCAGAATACCTGTGCTGTTTACATTACAGATTAGAAGCCTGAAAGACTGCCAAATCTCTAAGAATGGGGAACAGGGGAAGCTGAGGTGCTGCTGAGACAACTGAGAGTTCTGCTTTGAACGTCAAGGATGACACTTCAAGGGTGACTTAGGCTGGCCATACATTATACAATTTTCTTGAGAAATTTGCTTTAGATTTACCAAAAACCATATAATATAAGGTCAAACCTAAACAACACTTTCAATTGTATCCAATTAGGCAGGCCTACACTACTTGCACTACATAGTTGAAGGTAAATCTAAAGGAAATTGGACAGAAAATTGTAAGAAAATTGTATCGTGTATGGCCAGCCTTACCTTACAGTGTCTAACCACAGATTTCCTTTACGTAACGTAGTTTTTTTTTTGCATATCTTGTGTGGTTTTTTTTTTTTTTGGTTTTTTTTTGGTTTTTTTACAGTTTCACAAGTACAATGAATTTTAGACCCTGGTATGTTTGCTATTAACTTAACATGGTTTAATGTTTCACATTTAGTAGTGTATTTGTAGATTTGTTTGTATGAGATAATAGTATTTTTTTTTTTTTTTTTTTTTAATGGTGATTGGATTTGTACAAGTATGAAGGGTTACCTAAAGACTCAAGATAATGCTCTGTAGAAGTCTGGATTTGAAAAAATATTGGAGGTGGAGCCTTTAGTTTCTTCGTCTAGTTCAGTTCTTAGTGTCAGTGTGTTTTTAAATATGGAAAAATTGGTTTGGCCTTTAGAGGTGAAAAAACTGAACACGCCCAGGACAGTTTGAAGGCTAAACAAATGCTGAGGATGGAAAGTAGCCTTACTAATGGCAGTAATACTTGTGTAAATTTGAACAGTGGCGCAGCATAACTACACATCAGCAGCCTTGCTCCAATATTGCAGACATCAGAGAATGGTTGTAGGAATACCAAGGACATAAGCAGAATCTTCCATGTTACAGTTTGAATTTAACTCTGACTTCACAATTAATTAAAAATACATCTTTAGAATGCTAGAACATTTCTGGAAATGACATTCTGACTGGAGTTGCTTTGAACTGAGAGATCTCAGATTATCTTTGGCACTGCCCATGGAAGGTCAGCTATTTGGTTAATAAATATAACGATATTAGAAGGCATATAGGGATTTTTTTCAGAGAAGTGTATGTGTCTGATGAGCTATAGTTGATGTATTTTTTTGGGATATGTCCGATAATGCTAGAGAGGAACATTAATGTTTTTTTTAAATGGCAATTATGCAGAAATCTACTTTCAATAGCAGCAAAGCAAAAATTTACCACAAAAATCAGTACCATTCAAAGGAAGCCCTTCATTGCTGATGTGTTTTTAATATATATATATATATATATATATATATATATATATATATATATATATATATATATATATATATACTGTATAATTTTTTTTTTTTTGTATTTTTATTTTTCTATCGACATTGGTCTTTTTTTTTTTCTACCTGAAAGTGGCAAACACAGGCATTGTTCTACTGGTAAAATGTGTTGGAAACCTAATGACATTAAACGTATCCTTCCTATAAATAATAATGTAGATGATTGGATTATTGTATATTAACATATGTACAATGTTAATCCCTGTGGGGCATTGTCCCTTTAGACCATGTTAAGTTTTTTTCATTTTCTTTTCCAATTTGGTAGTAGTATGGTGCATTCCACCATTTCACAGGTGCAGAAATTATGATAAAAGGCCTGTGGTGTCAATGTATCATCCCTACCCCCATATCATTTTAAAGTTAAAAGTATATTAAAGGCATTTTTTTTTTTTTAAATAACAAACATGTTATACTTGCCTGCTCTGCAATGGTTTTGCACAGAGCAGCCGATCCTCCTCTTCTCGGGTCCCCAGCTGGTGCTTCTGGTCCCTCCCTCCTGCCAAGTGCCCCCAGGGCAAGCAGCACTTCTCTGCGTGTCCATTCACACACAGAGCTGTGGCATGGCCTCGCTCTTTCTCTCTCATCATTGGCTCACTGGTTGTGATTGACAGCAGTGAGAGCAAATGGCTCCCTCTGCTGTCTCCGTGAGGAGGGAGAACCCTCACCGAGGCTGTCCTGCACATTGCTGGATTGAGATGGGCTCAGGTAAGTGTAAGGAGGGCAAAGAATGAATGAAGGTAAAAAGCCTTGAGCCTTTACAACCACTTTAAGGGTGCTTTGTTGCCTTCTCAATACCATTAGTATATAGACACAATAAGACACTATATATAACATACGTTAAGGGGTACGTTTTATAAATGTTTTCATTAGAGGTTTCATGTAGCTGTCACCAAAGACTGACGCCATTGGATCAATATTAGATTCAATTCGAAAAATGTGTGAATCCTGGGTGAAAGTTATGTGAAAACCTATAGAAATAGACCTCTATGTGCTATATAAAGTGCAATGTTTATGCATTGTAATTCATGTAATACCCCGCAGACTTGCTGAATGCATAATGTGTCTTGAAAAAAAAAAAAAAAAAAAATAGTAGGTTTGTACTCAGTGCTTTGTTTATTTACTTTACAGGCTATGTGGCTGATGCTGCAAACAGATGAGCCTGAGGACTTTGTGATATCTACTGGGGAGGTCCACAGCGTTCGGGAGTTTGTGGAGAAAGCTTTCAAGCATATCGGGAAAACCATTGTGTAAGCAAATGACACAGCAGTGCACCATCATTAACAGTTATTGTATCTTTGGAGCAATATATGCGACGGATTACAGATCATACCAGTTGTTACACACACTCAGCTCATTGGCATGCTTAGTGGATTTAAAGAGATTATCCAATTCAGAGGTTATATCAATGCAACACAGGTGTGGTTGTGATGTTGATCCTATAGACCAGGGATATTGAATTACAATTCATGGAGGACTGGTTATTAGAATTTTCATCCAGCAAAGGTCCGAGTCTCATGTTTGTGCTATGACTCTGTTTCTTCACATCACAGCTCCTCCCCTTTACATTAGTTTCCCCTTTACATCACAGTCCTCTTCACATCACAGTCCCTCCTTTATACCACAGCGCCCCCTTTACTTTGCAGAACCCCCTCTTTACAATACAGCCCTCATTTACAATGCAGCCCCTTCTTTACATTACATTGCCTGCTTTACATCACAGCCCCCTTAACATCCAAGTTCCCCCATTTTACATCATAGGGCCTCCTTTACCTAAATGTCCTGTGTCCCTCCTTCACAGCCCCCCCCCCCTTCTTACATCAGACTCCCACCCTTTATATCAGTGTCCTCAGCCCCCACCTCACATCACAGTCCTCCTCTCCTTCACATCAGTGTCTTCTGTCACCCTTTCACATCACAGCCCCCTCCTTGTATCCCAGTCCCCTTCACAACCCTCTTCCTTGTATCCCAGTCCCCCTCACAGCCCTCCCTCCTTGTATTCCAGTCCCCCTCACAGCCCTCCCTCCTTGTATCCCAGTCCCCCTCACAGCCCTCCCTCCTTGTATCCCAGTCCCCCTCACAGCCCCCCTTCCTTGCATCCCAGTCCCCCTCACAGCCCCCCTTCCTTGCATCCCAGTCCCCCTCACAGCCCTCCCTCCTTGTACCCCAGTCCCCCTCACAGCCCCCCTTCCTTGTATCCCTGTCCCCCTCACAACCCTCTTCCTTGTATCCCTGTCCCCCTCACAGCCCCCCTTCCTTGCATCCCAGTCCCCCTCACAGCCCTCCCTCCTTGTACCCCAGTCCCCCTCAC